TCTCTCTCTCTCTCTCTCTCTCTCTCTCTCTCTCTCTCTCTCTCTCTTTTCTTTTGAAACAGGGTCTCTCATGTAACCCTGGCTGTTCTGGAACCCACTATCTAGACCAGCTGGCCTCAAACTCCCTACCTGCCTCTGCTTTCTGAGTGCTTGGGTTGCTGGTGTGAGCCACCACACCTGCCTTTTATTTTACTTTTCTAAGGAAAGAAGCTAAGGCAAACAAAAGTGAGTAATAAACCACACATCGAGATTATTGTTGCTGGGCATGAAATAAAAAGCTGATTATTAACTTAAGTCTCATTTCTCAGTTCTCAACTTCCTTTATTATAAAAACGTCATTACAGTATGGATGGGAACGTGGTTCGGGTGTAAAAGCCCTTGCTACACAAAGTTTGAGGATCTGAGTTTGGATTGTAAGCATCTGCATAAAAAGCCACTCCCTGTTGTTGTGTGCCTGCAGTCTCAGTGCTGGAGTGGGTGGAGGCAGGACTGCTGCTAGCTTTTGCTGGCTGCCAGCTTAGCCAAAGAAAATGGGGAACTCCTAGTTCAATGAGAGACCTTGTCTTAAAAGAAAACAAGACAGAGAGAGAGAGAACATAGCTTCTTCATATATGTGCACACAGGCAAGTGTCGTGGCTCACCTTTAATCCCAGCACTGAGAGGCAGAGGCAGAAGGATTTCTCTAAGTTTGAGACCAGCCTCATCTACATAGTGAGTTCCAGGATAGCCAGAGCTACATAGAGAGACCCTGTCTCAAAAATCAAATATGTACACACATGCGTATACCATGTGTGGAGTGTACAGAAATTCAGACTCCTCCATTTCTCTGTGACAGCGTTCTACAGATTTTCAAGAGTGAGTCTCACCCTTCGGTGTACAAAGGAGCCAGCGGGCTGAAGGAGGGGCTCAGCCTCTTTGGTAGGTGTGGCCTGTTGTTCACCCCACACTCTGAAAACATGCTAGAAAACCAATTGACTCGCTAGCCATGTGCAGGCTCTCACTCCTGGCTGTACTGACATTGCCAGATGTCTTTTCCATGCCAGCCCAGGTATCTCAGTCTCTGTGCCCACCTGATTCAAGCTCCTTTATAGACTAGCCACGTAGTGTAATTTGCTTGTCGGCTGTAACCTTATCAATGTCATCTTCACTCTCTGGCTTTGTATGATTGTGTCCACTGATTGAGGGGTTTTAGAACTGATTTGTATAGTTTTATAGACTCGTATACTTCTTCTGGCTCTAGAGTATATTAGGGACATGGCTCTAAGTGTCCAACTTCTCACTGGGTTATGCTTTAGTTTTACATATTGTGATGGGCTTTTGTGAGTTTGTGGCTATGCCCGTTTATATATTTTCCTGGCTGAGCATCCATCCCTCTTCCTACCCTCACATGATAATCCAGTTTGTAGCCAGGCACTAATTTTGGCTGCTTTTGCATTCCATATCTGGGTCTCCAGACTGGCCTACCTTGTAACAAGTTCACTCCCTGTGCATACCCACAGGAATCCTCAACAGATGCCGCTGTAAGTGGGGACAGAAGCTGCTCAGGTGAGTGGGCCGCAGACATGGGTTTATAAACAAATACACATTGAGTGCTGAGGTCTGTTAGTAGCAGTCTGCAGGCAAACACTATTTCATTTAGTAGTACTGCCCATCCAGAACCCAGTGTAGTAGCTAGTCTAATCCTCATTTTATGTTGTCAGCACAGATGCAACCATACCCGTGGATAACTAGCTTTCTCCTTCTTAGTCGGTCTAGGCTCTAAGCTTAGGGAATGGTGCTGCCTATAGTGGATGCATTCTCCCACATCAAAGAATGTAAGATAACCCCTCATAGTATTCTCAGAAGCAATTCTAGACTGTGTCAAGTTGACAATTAAACTGATCATGGCCCCTCTATTCACCTCAGTTTTAATTTTCAGGATCATCCTCAAACTCATTGTGAACCCTTTTCTTTTTAATTTTCAGGATCACATCCTCAAATTCATTGTGAACCCTTTTCTACTAGATACATCACCCATGTCAAAATTTAATCTCACATTTTAGGGTCAAATCAACTTTCTCTACTGAGAGATGACCATTATTAACAGTTGTAAGATGAGCTGGGCATGGCCACCATGTATTTAATTCCACCGGAGGCAGAAGCAGTCAGATCTCTACGAGCTCCAGGTCAGCCAAGGCCACATAGTGAGACCTTGTTTCAAAACAACCAAAACCAAAACCAAAACAAAACAGAATTGTAAGCTGAGTAGACTAGGGTGTAGTGAGATAGCTCAGTGGGTAGAGAGGCACTTGCCGCTAAGCCTGATGACCTGAGTTGGATCCCAGAACTCACATGATGGAAGAAGAAAACCAATTCACACAAGTTGTCCTCTGTCTTCTGCATATGGCACATGCACACACACACACACACACACCCCTTTACAAAAAACAAGAGGGAAGGAAGGAAACAAGAAAAGAAAAAGAAGGAATTGTAGGCTAGGGGCTGATGGGACAGCTCCACAGGTAAAGGTGCTTTCTGCACAGGCCAAGCAACCTGAACTCACATAAACGCAGGACAGATCCAACTTCACAGAGTTATCTCCACAAATGCCATGACATCTGTGTCCACATATGCATAATGCACACAACACACACAGAACAGCAGGCTGGGAAGGGGCCTGTGGCAAACACCTGTAATTCCAGCAAAATCTAGGAAATAGAAGCTGGAGGAGCAGGAGTTCTAGGTCAGCCTTGATACACCGTGTTTGAGACCAGTCTGAACTATGTGAAACCCCTTCTCAAAAAACAACAAAAACCCTGCAGGCTGGGGGTGTGACTCAGTAGTTAGTTGCTTAGGTAGTTAAGTAAGCCTTGACTCAGCCCTAAATTTTGCCAAAAGAAGGAAGGATGGAAGGAGTCAGGGAGGGAGGGAATGAGAATCAGTTACAGGCATTTGCACAGAAAAAGCGTGAAAAGATGAGACTTCATCTATGCTGTTTCCCCAAGATACTGTCGCGGCTACACACAGATAGCAAACTCATATTGACTCACCCTCTCCCACTCAGCTGTGGAGAACTGCAGTGTTAGCACACAAATACAACACATTGTTCCCCCTCTAAAACACTGACACACTCCACCACATAGCCACATGGAGTGACATCTGTCAAAGCCACGATGTACAGACACAGTCATTATGACTCCAGCAATTTTCAGTATGCACATATAAACGAGCCCACATACACAGGGCCTTGCGCTTGCCAGTTCGTTCCTGTCATGTGCTGCAGGCACATAGTACCACCCTCCCCAAGCAAAATCAAGACGAGAGAAGACGTGACTTGTAACCTTCCCATCCCAACCCTCATCCTCCAGGCTATGGTTTACACGTCCAACCCAGGAGCTAAGGGAGCTCAATTCCCGTCTGGATGTCATTCAGTTTTTCCTGATGCCTCAGAACCTGGACATGGCCCAGATGCTGCACCGGCTCCTGAGCCACATCAAGAACGTGCCTGTGAGCCCGGGGCAGAGATCAGGGCGGGGAATAAGAAAATTTTGGGCTGCTTATTTTTATTGTATTAAAATTTTGTTTGTTTTTGTTTTGGGGCAGGGTCTCACTGTGGAACCGTATATAGTCAGGAACTCACAGAGATCTACCTGCCTCTGCCTCCCGAGTGCTGGGAGTAAAGCTGTGTACCACCACACCTGGCTATTTATTTGTTTTTGAGACAGGGTCTCACTATGTAGCCCTGGCTGTCCTGGAACTTGCTATGTAGACCAGGCTGGCCTTGAACTCAGAGATTCTTCTGCCTCTGGAGTGCTGAGATGAAAGACGTGCACCACCATACCCAGCCCAAGACTTATTATTTTTAATTATATGCATGTATAACCAGGCCTGTGAGTTCAGACTGGTCTATATAGTGAGTTCCAGTTCAGTCAGGGCTACCTAACGGGACTCTGTCTCAAACAAAACAAACAAAAATCAGGTGTGTCTGTGTGGAATATACACATGTGAGTGTGGGTGACTGCAGAGTCCAGAAGAGGATGGTGTTATGGGTGGCTGTGAACCCCCTGGTGTGGGTGCTGGGAACCAAACCTTGGTCCTCTGAAAGAGCATCTCTCCCACCTGGACTGAGTGCCTTGAGGGACATCACATGGCAAATGTCAAACCATAGCTGTCTCTTTGTCTGCTTATAGCTGATTCTGAAACGCATGAAGTTGTCCCACACCAAGGTCAGTGACTGGCAGGTCCTCTACAAGGTAAGGCCTCCGCTTTGTTTGAGTTAAGATGTAGCCTAGGACAGCCTCACTGTTAGGATCCTCCTGCCCCTTCGCCTGAGTTCTGGGATTACAAGTTTCCTCTTTTAGATCAGAAGTTCGAGTCAAGCCTTCGTGTCCTGTGTCCAGACCTTCTTCTCTTGGGACACCCTGCCACGCTTTACTCAATGGTGTTTCTTTTCAACTTTGTGTTGCAGAAACAGCAAAAATATCTTCAGGGAATAGTACAATTTCTCCTCTTGTACCCAAGCACTCAGCTTCAACCCTTTGACTCACAGCAGTCCCTTCGTCTCCAGCCATTCGATTAGTCTATCCATAAACACTTCGTTGTGACGATCACAGAGTTGGCACTGATACTGCTGCTCAATCAGAACCACGAGGTCCTCCCTGCACCTCGTGTTGTTCCACTCACCTGTCTTCCTTGCCTGCTTGCCTTTTTCTTTTTTATTTATTTTTTGGGGGTTTTAGAGACAGGGTTTCTCTGTGTAGCCCTGGCTATCTTGGAACCAGCTCTGTAGACCAGGCTGGGCTCAAACTCAGAAATCCACCTGCCTCTGCCTCCCAAGTGCTGGGGTTAAAGGCGTGTGTCACCATGGCTAGCTTTTTATTTTATTTATTTTTTATTTATGTATTTACTTTATCTATCTATCCATCAGCCAGTCTGTGCATCCATCCATCCATGCACCCATCTACCCACCCATCTATCTGGTTTTTTGAAACAGTGTTTCTCTGTGTAGCCCTGGCTAGCCTGGAGTCTATTTGTAGACTAGGCTGTGTCCTCCACCTCACAGACCTCACAGAGATCTATCTGCCTCCTGAGTGCTGGGACTAAAGGGGTGTGCTACCACACCCAGCTCTACCTGGCTTCTTTTTCATTTGTAAAGCTTTATTTGATATATAGGAGTGTCTGCCTCTGTTTGTGCAACACATGCATGTTTAACCTGGAGAGGCCAGAAAAAGGCATCAAATTCCCTAGAACTGGAGTGGCTATGAGCCACCATGTGGATGCTGGGACCCAAATCTTGGTTGTCTGCATGAGCAACAAATACTCTTAACTGCTGAGCCTCTCTCTAGGATCCATGAGGTTTGATGTTTGTAGTGAGAAGAACCTGGGATAGAAGCTGAAATTACTCAGACATACCTTGTCTGGGTTGCTATGACTGTAAATGTCTTTACATAATTATAAAGCAAAGTTAAAATTTTCATTTTATGTTTTAGACAATGTTCTATTGCTGTGAGGAGACACCATGACCACAGCAACTCTTTCTTAAAGGACAACATTTAACCGGGGCTGGTTTACCGTTCAGAGGTTCCGTCCAGTATCACGGTGGGGAGCATGGAGGCATAGTGTCAGACGTGATGCTGGAGATGGAACTTAGAATCCCACGTCCTGATCCTCAGACAGCAGTGACCAAGCCAGCTCAGTCAACAGAGTCTCAAAATGGAGGGATGAGGACTGAAAAAGAAAACCAGTTAGACAAAATTATAACATGACTCCAGCCCGAGCTGAGGCTGAAGCAGGTTTAGGTTTCTCCTGCCTGCTTCTGTATCACTCTTGGAACATCCAAAAACCATGGTCAGTTCTTAGATCAAAGACAAAGTAATCAAGAGAAGCAGTAAACAAGGAGATCACATAAGATAGTAATCAAGCAAAATAGTAAGCCAGGAGATCACACAAGGTAATAATTAAGAAGTTGTAAACAAAGCCCCATGGTCACTGTTTCTAATATTCTTACCTGAGCCTACTTCCTTGTCTGAGCCCAGTGACCAATGCCAAATTCCTAGAAGTGGCACGAAAACCTCTCAACACAGCAGGAAAAAGATCGTGATACTGGGCCTGGCCTGAGCATCTGAGACCTCACAGCCCCACCCCCAATGACACACTTCCTCCAACAAGACAACCCCCTGTGGGCCTATGGGGACCATTTTCATTCAAACCACAACATTTATTTACTTACTTTGCTTTTTTTTTTTTTTTTTTGAGACAGGGCTTCTCTGTGTAGCCCTGGCTGTCCTGGAACTCACTCTGTAGACCAGGCTGGCCTCAAACTCACAAATCCACCTGCCTCTGCCTCTGCCTCCCAAGTGCTGGGATTAAAGGCGTACTGCCCGGCTACTTACTTTGCTTTTATTTGTTTGTTTTGAGACAGAGTTTCATTATGTAGCCCTGGCTGGAACAGAATTCTTTATGTAGACCTCATTGGCTTAACATTCACAGAGACTGGCCTTCCTCTGCCTCCCTTCTGAGCACTTGGACTAAAGCGTGCACCACCATGCCTCTGTATCTTTTTGAATTTTAAAATTTATCGTTCTATTGTTTCCATTTAATTTTTTTTTTTTTTTTTTTTTGGTTTTTCGAGACAGGGTTTCTCTGAGTAGCCCTGGCTGTCCTGGAACTCACTCTGTAGACCAGGCTAGCCTCGAACTCTCGAACTCAGAAATCCGCCTGTCTCTGCCTCCCAAGTGCTGGGATTAAAGGCGTGTGCCACCACCGCCCGGCCGTCCATTTAATTTTTTAAAATTAGTTATGTTTCTTTGTGAACGTGGGTGCACACAGGTGACAGCGAGTGTGGAGGAAAGAGGAAACCCTGCTAGACTTGTCCTTTGAAATTCTCATACTTTCTCAGTTGTACAACTCTGCCTGCTTTATCGGATCACTGTGTCTGCTGCTTGTCTCAGCCTTTGACTTGGGCAATTTATACAGCTCTTCTACAGAGGGGCGCTCCCTCAGGTCTGTTCAGAGTGTAATCTGTGGTCACATCAGCTCCTGGTCACCGACCTCGATCTGGAGTGTTAGTTCGTCTCCCCAGGCTCCCTCCCTGCCCTTTTTCCTGACTTTTATTCTTTTTTTTTTTTTTCATGTCCTCTCTTGCAGACTTTTAATCTGATAATCTTCTGTTCTCTCCATAGTTTTTTCTTTCTCTCTCTCTTCTTCTTTCTTTCTTTTTTTTCAAGACAGGATTTCTCTGTGTAGCCCAGGCTGGCCTCGAATTTACAGATATCCACCTGCCTCTGCCCGTCAAGTGCTGGATTATAGGCATGAACCATCACACCCCCGCTCTCTGTTTTTATCTGTGTCTCTGTGTGTCTTTGTGCCTTTGATAACCTCTCGGTATTCACCATTGGTCTCTGTGCTTTTCATTCTGTCCATGTCCCCTCCCTGGGGACATGGCTCCCCCGCGTGGGGTCACCTTCCTCAGTCATCTCTCCCACAGACTGTGTACAGTGCCCTCGGCCTGAGGGATGCCTGCCGTTCCCTGCCCCAGTCCATCCAGCTTTTTCAGGATATTGTCCAGGAGTTCTCTGATGACCTGCACCACATTGCCAGCCTCATCGGGAAGGTGGTGAGTAGAAGCCAGACACCCGAGGAGCATGAACAGGGCAGGATGGAAGAGGAGAAAGGGTCTGGGGTCGGAAGAATGAGGTGTGGGAGGTGGGGACACGTGGGAGGTACAGGATTACTTGGTGACCAAACAGCATGCTGAGAGGAAGTGTCTGAAGATGAGGATTAAAGGGGGATCTGGGGCTCAAGGAGAACTGAGAAAGGGTGCTGGGTGCTAAGAAACTGGATGTCTAATCTGTCTCCTCAGGTGGACTTTGAGGAAAGTCTTGCTGAAAACCGCTTCACAGTCCTCCCCAACATAGATCCTGAAATAGATGCCAGTGAGTGCTGGGTGTGTGGGTCCTAGGCATGGGGGTCCTGGACATGGGGTCCTAGGCATGGGGGTCCTGGGCATAGGGTCCTAGGCATGGGGGTCCTGGGCATGGGATCCTAGGCATGGGGGTCCTGGGCATGGGGTTCTAGGCATGGGGGTACTGGGCATGGAGGTCTTGTACATGGGGGTACTGGGCATGGAGGTCTTGTACATGGGGGTCCTGAGCATGGAGGTCCTTGGCATGGGGGTCCTGGACATGGGGATCCTGGACATGAGTTCCTAGGCATGGGAGTCCTGGGCATGGGGGTCCTGGGCATGGGGTTCTAGGCATGAGGGTCCTGGCCATGGGGGTCCTGGGCATGGAGGTCCTGGCCATGGGGGTCCTGGGCATGGGGTATTGTACATGGGGATCCTGGACATGGGGGTCCTAGGCATGAGGGTCCTGGGCATGGGGGTCCTGGACATGGGGGTCCTAGGCATGGGGGTCCTGGGCATGGGGGTCCTGGGCATAGGGTCCTGGACATGGGGGTCCTGGGCATGGGGTTCTAGGCATGGGGGTCCTGGGCATGGGGGTCCTGGGCATGGGGGTCCTGGGCATGGGCGTTCTGGGTTAGCCATGGAATCCATTCTTGGCTAGACACCATAAACGGGAATCAGCTTTGTAGCCAGAATAAAGATCTGCCTTTGTTGTTGAGACAGTCTCCAGTAGCATGGGCTAGCCACAAACTCAGTATATAACTAAAGATAGCCTCAAATTCCTGATCCTCCTGCTCCCACTCGGGAGGGCTTGGATTACGGGCATGCACCACCATGTCCAGATAATCAGGAATTCTTAAAAAAAATGTTTCATGTGGCCAGAGTTGGCCTTGAACCCTTAACCCTGCTGGACCTTATTTTTATATGCATATAATTTTCTGCACACGTAGAGAAGCGGAGGCTGATGGGGCTCCCGAGTTTCCTCACTGAAGTTGCTCAGAAGGAGCTGGAGGACCTGGACTCTCGCATCCTCTCGTGCAGTGTCATCTACATCCCTCTGGTGAGCGCAGGGAGAGGCGGCGTCCCCGGGAGTCTCCTAGTGATGCATGAAAGCCTTTGAATGCTGGAGGGCAGGACAGCTACTCATGGATGCAACCATAGGCCTCATGTGGAGTGGCAGGAAGTGGCACCCAGCCAAATGAGCTAAATCCATCCTGGCAGTCAGCGGGTGACCGACACCCACTGTCCTTAAGCCCAGGGACATGAATACCTTTGGTGACTTCAGTCTCTGACAGAGGAATGGAGGACCCCAGTGGTATCTGGGCTTCCTCTAGGACCAGAGGGTGTTCGGTAGGTTACTGCCCACTCTGTCTCCTTTCTCTCCCCAGATTGGCTTCCTTCTTTCCATTCCCCGCTTGCCTTTCATGGTGGAGGCCAGCGACTTCGAGGTTGAGGGACTGGAGTTCATGGTAAGTGTCTTGACCTCTCTGTGGTGGGAGGAGTGTGATAAGGAAGTGATAAGAAGCTGGGAGAAGGGTCTCAGCCTGTCAGCACTGAACATGAGGTGGCATCAAGTTTTGTAGCTTAAGAAACTTTGTCAGGCCTGAGTCAGAAGAGGAGTTCGGGGGACGGTGGGACTGGAGGAGGTTCAGGCAGGTGGACAGGAGAGAGGAACTGAGGGACGAAAAGCCTCTGGGTATGGTGGTGTGGTCCTGGCTGTTCTGGAACTCACTCTGTATACCAGGCTGGCCTTCAACTCACAGAGATCCACTTGCCTCTGCCTCACAAGTGTTGGGGATTAAAGGTGTGTGCTACTACTACCTGGTTTGTGATCAACTTTAATCCCAGCACTCTGGAGACAGAGGCAGGTGGATCTCTGTGAGTTGCAGGCCAGCCAGGGCTACAGAGTGAAATGCTGTCCCTAAACAAAACAAAAACCAAGAGTCAAAAAGCCCAGAGTTTGGACTCCTTGCACCCAGTTTCTCTCAGAGGACAAGCTGCACTACCGTAGCACGCGGACCAAGGAGCTGGACGCACTGCTGGGGGACCTGCACTGTGAGATCCGGGGTGAGGAACCCGTGGTGGGAGAGGAGTTGCTCTAACAGACCCTGCCCTCAGGCTGTCATCTGAATGGTTCTGGGAGTTTCACACTGCGTCTGCATGCCTGTTTCCAGATCTTTCCATGCACCCCTCTCTCTCCGTCACTTTCTCAGACCAGGAGACCCTGTTGATGTATCAGCTGCAATGCCAGGTGCTGGCACGGGCTTCTGTCTTGACTCGGGTATTGGACCTTGCCTCCCGCCTGGATGTCCTGTTGGCTCTCGCCAGTGCTGCCCGGGACTATGGCTATTCAAGACCGCATTACTCTCCCGGCATCCATGGCGTGCGAATCAAAAATGGCAGGTGAGAACAGAGTGGGCCTCATCTCCTGCTGCGGGGGTCCATCTCCTGCTCCGGGGCTCCATCTCCTGCATCCACAAGCCGTGCAGTGCTTCTCTACCCACCCCAGGCATCCTCTGATGGAACTGTGTGCACGAACCTTCGTGCCCAACTCCACAGACTGTGGTGGGGACCAGGGAAGGATCAAAGTCATCACAGGACCCAACTCCTCCGGGAAGAGCATATATCTCAAACAGGTGAGGGCCATACCACCTATGTGTCTGGCGTCTCCTTCATCTCCTCTGACAGCCAGGCCCAGTCTTCTGCTCCCCACAGCACATGTCCTTGTTCTCTGAGGGACAGTCTGTTCTTTAGGATAGACCTTTCATAGCCACAAGTCCCTGGATCAACTTCCAAATAGGTCCCATGCCCTCCGTTCCCTAGTGCGCCTTTACCCACAACCCTGACTTCCTGGAGTTAATTCTGAAGTCAGGACCCGGGAAACAGTATGTTCCACGGCTCTGTCTGTTACATGTGTCCTCTCTTTAATCTGTCATTCATGTCTTTTAGTTGGGACCCATTTTTACTTTGCCCATAGCACAGTAACAGGCCCATGTCCTGTCCCCCTGTCCAGGTCGGCTTGATCACCTTCATGGCGCTGGTGGGCAGCTTTGTGCCTGCAGAGGAGGCTGAGATTGGGGTGATTGACGGCATCTTCACCCGAATTCACAGCTGCGAATCCATCTCCCTCGGCCTCTCCACCTTCATGATTGATCTCAACCAGGTTAAAGGGAGCAGAAGGGGTGGGGGAGGGGGTAACCGGTAGGAACGGTGCCCCTGGGAGTCTTGGACAGGAACACACTTCCTCAGGAGCCTGCCATCTGTACCAGGGCCAGGGAGTCGGGAGGTGGCAACACCATCAACAGTTCTTGAGGCTCCTCTGTGTGACCTCTCTGCTAGCAGATAGAGAGAGTCAGTCGCTGTTAAAAAGCCTGCAGCTTTCCGTTTAGGGGCAGACACACGTGAGAATTTTATTCATGATGACACGTCACAGCCCAGAACCCTAAGAAAGCTCCCTTGTCCTGTTCATACCCCGGCAGGTGGCGAAAGCAGTGAACAATGCCACAGAGCACTCGCTGGTCCTTATTGATGAATTCGGGAAGGGAACCAACTCGGTGCGGAGGAAATGAATCTAAGGAGAGGGCGGGAGGAAGATGAGGGGCGGGAGGAAGATGAGGGGCGGAGGAAGATGAGGGGCAGGAGCAGGAGACTGAGCTCTTGGGAAGATGGGGGAAGCCCTGGCCCTGCCCTCTCACCTCTGTCCTCCGACAGGTGGATGGTCTGGCACTTCTGGCGGCTGTGCTCCGTCACTGGCTAGCACTGGGACCCAGCTGCCCTCACATCTTTGTGGCCACCAACTTCCTGAGCCTTGTTCAGCTGCAGCTGCTGCCGCAAGGACCCCTGGTGCAGTATTTGGTGAGGAAGTCACTCACTCCGACCATGGCCTTTCCCTCCTCTCAGTCCCAGGGCACTGAAGGTGCACTGTCGTTGTTTGCTCTCTTTGAAGACCATGGAAACTTGTGAGGATGGAAACGACCTTGTCTTCTTCTATCAGCTTTGCCAAGGCGTCGCCAGTGCCAGCCACGCCTCCCACACCGCGGCCCAGGCTGGGCTTCCTGACCCACTCATTGCTCGTGGCAAAGAGGTGATGAGCATCGTGTGCAAGCCCCACCTCAGGCTCCCCTGGTGTCCACCGCCCCTCTCGCTAAGTTTAAGATTTACTTATCTTATACACATGAGTGTTTCCCTGAATTTATGTAAATATACCACGTGCGCCTGTGGAGGTCAGAAGATGACCTCAGATTTCAGGAGACTGGATTACAGATGGTTGTGAGCTGCCATGTGGGTGCTGGGAATTGAACCCAGCTCCTCTGAGAGCAGTACGTGCTCTTAAGCACTGAGCCATCTCTGCACACCCTCTTACCTGTTCCTCTTGAAACTCTGGACTTCTGGGCCCACAGGACTTCTGACCCTCATTCCTCTCTTCCCTAACGCCCTCCCCCCAATCCTTCTTGTGCTTCCCACGCTAGGTCTCGGACTTGATCCGCAGTGGAAAACCCATCAAGCCCATGAATGAGCTTTTGAAGAGAAACCAAATGGAAAAGTGAGTGGGGCCTGCCATGCTCCTGCATTCTCCTTCACCTGGCCTCAGCCAGCCTTCTTCCAGCCCTGTGACCTCCTCCTCACCAAGACAGGTGTGGCACATGCCTGTAAGCCCAGTGTTCAAAGCCAGCCTGGACTACATAGCAAGACCTTGTCAGAAAATGACAAACAAAACCAACCCAGTATCCATGGCTGCTTTTGAAACCTTTGGCTCTTCATGGCTGCAGTTTCTTTGCACAGAACCTCCCTCTGCAGAGGGAGTTGGTGACCCAGAAATCATATGGTTTCTCTCCTGCAGCTGCCAGGCATTGGTGGACAAGTTTCTAAAACTGGACTTGGAAGATCCCTCCCTGGACCTGGACATTTTCATTAGTCAGGAAGTGCTCCCTGCTGCCACTACCATCCTCTGAGCATCCTCCCTCTGCCTCCCAGCTACTTGAGCCGCACCCCCCACCCTGGGCTACCAGGCCTTTTCCTTTTCTTCCTTACTACAGAGTTCTCAGTTTGCACAACATTTTATCTTGTGTTAGGAATAAAGTTTATTTTGGATCAAGGTGTTTCCTTAGGTCACCCAACAGGACAACAGCTGGGAGAGGGAGCAGTCACTCAGAAATACAATGACAGTTGGGCCGGTGGATGCTCAGTGGTTAGAGACACTGGCTGCTCCTGCAGAGAAAGTGGGTTTGGTTCCGAGAGCCACATGGTGGCTCACATCTGTGTGTCACTCCAGTTCCAAGGGGTCTCACACTCTCCTAGTCTCAGTGGGCTCTGGGACACATGAATACACATAAACTCATGGACAGACACATACACATAAATTAATATATAAATACATTTAGTCAGGAATGGTGGTATAAGTAAATTCAGTTTTGGTGGTGCACACCTTTAGTTCTAGCACTGGGAATACAAAGGTGGGTGGACCTCTGAGTTTGAGGCCAGCCTGGTCTATATAGTGAGTTCCAGCCTGGCTAGACTACATAGGAAGACTCTGACTCAAAATAAATTAAAGAGATGTTTAAATAAATTCATATTCTGCACTTTGGACTAAACAAGGACAAGGTATTTCCAACAGACTGCAAAAAAACAAAAATTGACAGTTGACACACAGTTTAAGGGAGGCTATCTCTTGCCTTAAGGACTATCCTGGCCCCACAGGCTGAAAGACAAGGCAGGATGGGTAGAAGATGGGTTGGGGAGGGACCAGCCCTGGCTCCGCCCTTCCCACTTGAGAGCCATGGAGAGCCCAGGTCCTGGTGGGCCACCCTTGGTACAAGCGCCCTACACTGTTCTGCTGCTACCACTGGGGACAAGCCGCCAAGACCCAGGGGCCCAGAACTTCTTCCTCTGGGTGAGTGCTAGACCAACTAGGTCTTGGGACACACCCTTCCCTGATGTGCCCTTGATATTATAGTTCCTCTCAACTCTGAGGACCTACAAGCTTGCTTTGCCCCCATGCCCCTTTGCCGTTCAAGTCCTCAGTGGAAAGTCCGAGCTCATCCTTAGTGATCAGATAGTGAGCCCTTTAGAGGAGATCGCCATATCTAGAGTCCTGCTGGGAGTGAGAAATTTTGGCCTGTGTCTCTTGTCTACTCCAGCTGCAGATGATGCAGGCTCTGGAGAGGGAACAAGATGCTCTGTGGCAGGGCCTGGAGCTGCTGGAGCATGGCCAAGCCTGGTTTGCAGACCGGCTGAGGGAGACACAGCAACGGCAGCTGCAGCTGGGGGCCCTCGGTGAGGTAGGGGGCAGCCTTCTGTGAATGGACTGGGGAGGGAGCATGTGGACCTCGCAGTCTGCTCTGGGAAGGGGAGGGTTAACAGGCAGGGCTCACGAACTGGAATAGCATTAGAATGACAGGATGGTCACCAGTGTTCATTGTGCTGGAAGAGGCTGGTCTGCATTCCAGTCAGAGGGACTCCATCTGAGCACCCCACAGAGAGCTGGAGCATGGCCTGGACACGGGTCAGGGGAGGGTTAGAGGGGACCCATGAGGAATAGGAGTGGGGGTGAGGTGGGGAGGGCTCCAGGCAGTGTGAAAGGAACTGCATTGCTAAGAGATGGAGGTGGAGAGGGAGGGCTGGCCTTTCCCTCTCTCTGGAAGGTTCTGGAAGGAGGGAATCTGATGAGAAGTATAGCCGGTGATGAAGAAGTGGCAGGAAGACCTGTTTCCAGCACACAGTCACCCTCCGACCCCTCTAGGGCTTTGTGATGGACTCACACTCAGAGGCTGACGCCCCTCGGTTAACCCAGATTCAACAGGTGAATGCTTGTTTGCACAGTCTGATTCAGAAGGTGAGTTTATTGTTTTTAATTTCTAGACTTCGGGGAGGGGGCTTTTGGAGTCATGCTGATTTAGCCCGTATCCACGGGAAAGGCCGACTCCTGCACAGTCCGGGACCAGGACGGAATGTCGAGGAGGGAATTGTGGCAGCCATGGGTAAACTGTGGCCTGGCTGACAAACCCACAGTGTGGGTGGCAGGTACCAGGCTGGTTCTCTCTCTTTTAGGAGTTGTCAAAGCAGCAGAAAGGAACCACCCAGTCCACGGGAGAGGTGGTCAGCCAGGCTCCCCCGGGCCCAAAGGGGCCCACCCTTGTGTAAACCCTCCCCTCCCTGCACTGGTGAGTAAGGTGAGTTGGGGTCAGAACCCTCCTGCCCTGTCCTGCCCTGCCCCCACCAATTTCATCTTAACTCAGCAGCCAGGGACTCCAGGCTGAGAAATTCAGGTAGCTCAGTATAAAGTGTCCTCGGCACCTTCTCGATGCCACTTGCCCTCACTCTCCCCTATGCCATGTACAACAACCGTCTTTCTTCAGTGTATCTGGGGAGAAGGCGTGGTCACCGGTCACCTTGATCACCGAGACTCTCCTTCAGCTTGAAGCAAAACTAAGACTACAGCAGCTGCCCTGGAATTTAAAGTGAAAACTGTACTTTCTGGTGCCCCTGCCCTGCTTCTGGAATAAACAGCAGCTTTCCAAAAAAAAAAAAAAGCCTTTGTTTTGATTCCTATTGGGGTAAGGAAAAGCACCCCAAGAGAAACCCATCACCCTTGATCCTAATCTTGTGTGTATTTTTGGTTGATGTGGTTTTTGAGCTAGTGTCTCATAGCTCAGGCTGGCCTTGAACTCACAGCAGCAGTCCTCCCTGTTACAGAGACTACAAGTATGTACCACCTGTGTACGCCCCTCTACTCATTTTAGAAAGATAAGGGAGCCAGGCAGCGGTGGTGCACGCCCTCCATCCCAGCAGAGAAGGAAGACACACAGAGGTAGGTAGATCTCTTCGAGGCCAGCCTGGTCTAAAGAAAGATAAGGGACAAATGTGATAGAAGAAAAATCCCCAAACCAGGTAGGCAGGGCAGGGTCCTGAGGCCATGTAACCATCCCACCCATAGGGAAGACTGAAAATGGGGCCTGAAGACATCCTGTCCCTGTGTTACCAGGAAGTGTAGCCTAGCAGGAACAGCACCCCTCCCACTGTTCCCCACCAGGCTCTTCCCACCATCCCTCTCCCAGCTCTGCCCTGGGTCACCAAAGTGGAAGGACGCAAGGCAGGGGTGGCTGGGGGCAGCACAGGGGCCGCAGAGTGGGCAGGGGCCTCCAGCCGGTCCTGCAGAAAGGAGGGAGAAGGTGAAGAATGCTGAGCTTCCACCCACCCGGCTCTGGCTGCTGAGAGGGTGAGGAAACACATTACCTTGGAGGACTGGGCCAGCACCAGAAGCTGGAGGAAGGCATGGGTTGGGGGCACCTGACTGGCTCCCTGACCCACCGCAGTCACTGTAACCATCACCACACTGTCAGGGGCTGCTGAATCTGGGACCTCTAGCCATAGGCGTCCCCAGGCAGACTCATTCAGTCCCAGGCGAGCCCTGAAAAGTGGACAGCCTTGGATCAGACAGAAGTTTCCTGGTAGGTCACGCCAAGCATAGGACAGGATTGAGGACTGAGCCCCAGCCTCTGTAGAACTGACTGGGTGGAGCCAGAACCCAAGCAGAGGTGCACAGAAGACTCGCCTGGAGAGGTTGGAGGTGAGGGAGAAGCTAGGGTTCACAGATGTCCTAAGAACAAGATCCTGGGGCCCAGAGAAGCTGGCGATGTGGAGGCTGAGAGGAGCCTTGCTGCCTGGAGTCAAGAAATCTGGCGGGCCACTGAGCTGCAGGGAAGGGCAGGTCAGAACGGCTGGTTCTAATCTCCCCAGCCCTGCCCACACATCTTCTCACCTCCAGAAGCACGGGAGCCACACTGCAAGGCTGGGGGGCAGTCCTCCGCAGGCCCTGTCCTCCTCCATCCTGCCCAACCAGCTCCAGTGAGAAGGGTGCAGAAGCAGACAGTAGTGTGGGTGGTAGTGAGGCAGCGAGGAGGCCTCGCTCCGGGGGTCCCACGGGCTCCAAGGACACCCGGCCCAGATGGGTGCCCTCTGGGACCCTTCGAAGGACGACATGGGAAAACTGCAGCTGGCCATCCGAGAGCTTCTGTCTAGAGACAAGCCCTGTCACTTCTACCAGCAGCTGGGTCTGGAGACCTGAGGTGAGCGGGATAGACATTGGTCTGCATGCAGCTGGAGGACGTGCAGGGAAAAGGAATGGCTGGTCTCCTCTAGAAATGGGCGAGGTCACGGGAGTGTGCCTTGTGAAGCCCAAAGCCAGAATCTTCCTAGTGTTCTTTTCTTTTTCTTTTTTTTTTTTTTCTTTTGGTTTAGTTTTTTGAGACAGGGTTTCTCTGTGTAGCCCTGGCTGTCCTGGAACTCACTCTGTAGACCAGGGTAGCCTCGAACTCTTGAACTCAGAAATCCGCCTGCCTCTGCCTCCCAAGTGCTGGGATTAAAGGCGTGCGCCACCACCGCCCGGCTATTCCTAGCGTTCTTTATGCGTCAAACAAGACACACATGTGTTCATTAACACACAATTACACGTGCAGTGGACCCAGGGGGTGAAGGTCAGGGAACAGTACTACCTGCAACTGGCTGAGTCAGGGGGTAGAGGCCAGGGTGGGGTCCATCCTCTGCAGGGATCCCGAAGTGAAAGAGAAAGTCCAGAGAGGTCTGGGCTGGGAGGGGAGACATTCTGAGACTTTGAGAGGACCATGACCACCTCGGCTCACCGCTGCTGTCCCCAGGAACCCCCTCTCCTTACCTTGTACTCTCACCCGGGGGGTTCCCTCAGCTGCTACCTGGATCTCCCAAGTCCCTATCTGAGGAGGGTCAGTCATAGTCACCGTCCAGAACTGCCCAAAGCGACGAGTGTTGCCCAGAGGACCCATGCCCTCCTCTGGGCCCTGTGACACCCCTTGGATGGGGACAAGACACTGTCACACAGAGTGATTCTTTTCTCACTGCACAGTCCCCCTCCTGTTCTCTACTCTTGAATTTTCTGTCTGCCCTGAGCCCCACCTTAGAGTACCTGCAGGGCTCTTGATCCAGAAGCTACTGATATCCCCGTGCATCCGGACTGTGACCTGCCAGAGCAGACGGTCCACAGCAAACACACACGGCTCCCCTGGGGTGACGACAGGAGGCTCCAGGGGAAGAGTCACCTGGAGACATGGTCAGGACCAAAGT